AACCTACTTCTCTTGAAATCAGAGATCTCTAGGGAGTCAAGTATGTCACCACTTCTATGTCTGGTCCTTACTAAAATTCTAAGTAGTTATCCACATTTGTTTTTTACTTCTTAAAACACTTGATTCTTTTCATTTCTGCACCATGACACTTACCTGTCCTTCCATGTACCTTAGAAGGTCTTAGTAGACTTCTTAGCAGTCTTCTGGAATCCTAGGCTCCATTCTGTCTACTCTTTTTATCTCTATCTACTAGAGGGCCAGTGTCTGTGGAGGAGAGGGGGGGCGGGAGATCCCCTCAGCCCAGCCTGCACCCTCTCCAATTGGGAACCCTCAGGAGGTGTCCAACTGCCAGTTTAGGCCTGATCCCAGGGATTGGTCCTAAACTGGCAGTTGGACATCCCTCTCACAAATCCTTTTCTGCATTCTCAGATGTGGCCTTCCATGCCCAGCTGATCAAAAGTAACTCACTTTACTGAGACCGTCTCTTCTGCTTTGTTTTCTTTCATGATGATTACCAATATCTAAAATTATTATGTTAACTTACTTGTTTTAGTTGTTTATTATATGTGCTATTCTGTATCATTACTGCTGTAGCTCCCACCCCTAAAATGATGTCTATTAGATTACAGGTACTTGGTGCTAAAAACTATTTCCAGAGTGAAAAGTTGGTAGGCTGTTTCTAAATATAACACACATCTCTAAATATGAAAAGAGAGTATAAGTACATATGTAAATAAGGCACTTTGGAATATTCAGTGAGAGAAAGTTTGTTCTTCCTAAGTCCGGGTAAAATATTGCTCCAAATGTTATGGATTGTACTAAATTTTATGTGTTTGAGAACATAGAATATTAACATATACTAGTTTTCTAATCCTTTGGTTCTTTGTATAATACTTAAAGACTTAAGTCAAAGGTTTCATGTTCATAATTTGATATCAGAGTTCATGTCTTTATCAGGTTAATATTCTTCAATGTATACAAATAATTATTAAAGAATAGTGTACTGTGTTAATAAGCATAACAGTATTTGCTAATATTTTATGGTTAATGTATTATATTGATATTAAAAATAATACATATATGTAACATATGTATGCTGTATTTACAGCATATGCAGAAATAGTGATTATATACATTTGTACTTGTATAGAATATATGTGACTTTCAACAAAGTTTTCAAATGAATTTATAAGCCCATATGAGGGCGTATAAATGAAAATATCCATGTGGCTAAACTGTTGTTCTGTTTGTAAAATAAGTAAGATGAGATTTTGTGTTTTTCTAAACTGTGATATAATGGAGTGATCACAAGACTAAGATTCAGAAAATCAGGTTTCTAATGCAGTTTCTGCTACTAACTACTGAGCAGGTCATTATATTCACTAGCTTGTAAGCTCCATGTGGGCAGGGGTGCTTGTCTGTTGTGTTCACTGCTGGATCACCAGCATCTAGAAGAGACTGGGCCCAGTGTAAGTGCTGAACAGATATTTGTTGCATGGATTATGTTTCACAAAATTTCTAGTTTCTACACCTATTAAACAGTGTTTCTCCCAACCCTTTCTTCTGAATAATATTAGAGCCCTTTGAATTTAAATGGGGCAGATTCATTGCTGGAACTATTTATTCAGCTTTTACCTGGGCCTTTATAAAATTGTTCAGTCCATCAAAGCTCTTTGCCTTGAGTATTAGCATAAATAAGGCAAGAGCTAAATTGGTCTATGTTTGCCATCTTCAAAAGAACTAAAAAAAAAACTTTAAAATTAAAATATGTAATTCAGATTCATAAAAGTAAATATGAGAGGAAGGTAATAACCAACCTTTCAAGTGATGTCTTTTCAAAGTGTGTAACCTTTACATTTTGGAAACTATTAAGGTTTAAAACTGCTCTAAGGATTTTGAGACACCCTGTAGATATACCCTTCTTTAAGAAAACTTGATATTCCAATTTTTTTAAAAAGCAAAAAAATTAACAGACTCTTCACTTTTAATTTTTTTCTTTTTACTAATTATACAAATACGTAATGAATGACAACCATGTGAAAATATGTAATGAATGACAACCATATGAAACCTGTATTGGGAAATGTACAGAAAGCAGTCTTGACAGCCTATCTCCATGATCCCCTGCACTGCCAGCTCTCAGAGCAGACAAGGCCAGCATCCACACTGAAGAGACTGCAGAAGAAACCTGGAGGACTGTGTGCTTCTGACAGAACAGCAGCCCCTCCTGACCACCATGCAGCCTCCCCGCCGCAGTTACCAGGATCAGTTCCTCGGTGGGGTTACTCCCCTGTCCAATGTTTAATGAGAACCTGGCCCCTTTTTTAAAAAAAAACAATATTGCTGCTCTTACTCTGTCATTCTCCATCCCCCTTCTCCCACCTAACTTTTTTTTCCACAGCAGGTATTACCAGTGATAGTGTTTGTTTATTTGTTCATTCCCTTTCTGGTGTACACAGAAGAAATACACACAGTGGAGTGTAAGCTCCAGGATACAGGAAATTTGTCATTTATCAGTATGTGCCCAGCACCTAGAACAGTGTGTGATGCACATTAGGGGCTTCATAAATATTTGTTGTTTGGTTGGTTGGATGCGTGGGTGGGTGGATGGATGGATGAAAATCTGAAGTAATGTATACTCTAACCTGAAACTCCTTACTGCTGATCCCTTAACTGTTTCTCCTCCAGTTTCCAACATCATCCTATCATTTGGATTTAGATGGAAAGTTTGCCCGCACTTTTTCTAGCCATAATTATCAAAGAATTTGCCTCCCTGCCCCAGCTGTAATGCCTCATCCTGCCTTGGAAACTTTTATCACAATTGGTAATTAGCCCTTGAGGCTTTTCCCTCCCCCTCAGGTGGGATCTGGCCAATGTGTGTGCATGAAGGACATGTTACTCTACCACAGCGACTACCTATATCTAAAAAGGAGGCACAGTATTTAGATAAATATAAATATACCAAAACTATACAGCACTCAGAATGGCCGTAAATGAAGTTCCTGCCTTTGGTATGTGTACACATTCTATAATAAGTCAATGGACAAGACAAACACCAGAAAGGGAAAGTGTAGAAAAGTACTATGCCTTTGCTGGATAAATGGGTACATCTTCATAAATGTTGGCAGGGGTACAAATTGCTGCATTGTTTCTAAAGGACAATTTAGAAATAGCTATTAAGATTAAACAGATCCCTATACTTTGACCAGCTTTTCAATGTCTAGAAATGTGTTCTATAAAAACTCTAGCAACTGAGAATGCTCATCAAGAAAGAGATGGTTTAAGTATGATGCCACATAGCCATAGGATGGAAAACAATGCAATCATTAAAAACAACAAACACGGGTGTGTTGGTATTATATTACGATTATATTAAATGGAATGAGACAATTGCACATTGGTATTATATTACGATTATATTAAATGGAATGAGACAATTGCACATTAGGATTGTGGTGTCATCCTGTTACCGAGTTTATTCCACTGTTCTCCATGCTAGGGAAAACAGTCAGGAATAGTCACATGTCTCTCTCTCATAGAAATAAGTTCTATTTGGGGAAACAGACAACAAACAAATTGAGGTTTAATGGAAGATGGAGCATTGCTCTGAAGAAATATGAAGCACGGCAAGAGGACACAGATTGATGAGGACTGAAACAGACCCAAATAAGATGAGGGAGCAAGGTGAAAAAAGTCAGCAGGGGAGGCCAGTAAGGAAACATGTGCTTGGAGTAGATGAGAAATTCAGGGAAGGAAATGTGACTGGCCAGCAGTGTGCACATGGGATGAGGGTGAGATCTGAGAGGTAGCCAGGTCCTAGCTAGCATTCTGTAGGCAATGAAAACAATTTTGGGTTTTCTTTTAATTTCAATGATAGACCATCACAAGATCTTGCACAAGGAAGTATCATAATCACACCTGTGTTCTTAAGGGATCACCATGGCTCTCCTGTAGAGAATATTCCGTATTGAGTCCATATCACATAACCAATGATATCTTTTATTAGACAATTGACAGAAGAGCTGCAAATCAGAAGAAAACATGCAATCTTTCATATGGCTTATCTAACAGTTTTTAGGCACCTGCTTCACTGAAGGTTTATGAAGATTGAAAAATTTATGTATATACTTATATATTGGTAGTTTCTGTATGTATGTATATAGAGCATTTTTGTGTATTATTAATGAATATTAAATTATACTTTAGAAAAATTGAAATAAACCCATAAATGCTTGTAGGATGTGTAGATGAAAAAGGCATGGCAGGTGTTAAAGGTCTAATAGTTTATCTAACCTTTTGATATTGCCCTATTCAAATAAATGTTTTAGAATTTCTATGCTGTAAATAGAATGTTAGTTAATACATTTCCAAAGGGCTTAAGGATATTGCTCTAAAGTCCAAGGGCCATGAGATAACTTTGAAACCTTGGAATTAAGATAATACCTATTTGACCTACATAAGCAACATACATGCCGTCTTTAATGAGATTGGGTTTGTCAAAGTGTTGTGAAAAACATCAAATGAAATACTGAAGTTTCCCTAGGAGGACTGCTGCTATGTGGCAGTACCCAAACTGTGGTATTTTCCACGCTTTCTTCCAAGTGCCTCTTCTCCTTTAAAGGACATGGCCCCTCATTTAGGATGGTTCCCACACATTGGAGCATTCCAGATTATGTTGTTCAGCATTCTCTTTGCACATAGCAGTTTGGTGCCAAATCCATTTTTTCATTGAAGTTCACAACTTCGGCGGCAGTAATACAATGAGTTCCTTTTGGCTCGTTGAGATTCAGGCAGTCCCTGAAACCAGAGCAATATTGCCACCCCTCTTGGCCAAAGCACACTTTGGCAAAAAGATTGAATTAGTCACATGATTCTGTTAGACGCTATGTTTCTGAGTTTAACGTTTAACTGTGCGCCTAATGAACTATTGTATTTGCGGAGTCAATATTCGGGAAACTACCTAAACCAAACTTAGAGTTTTTTTCCCTCTTTCCTGCCAGAGTCGGGCCACAAGAAGTTAAAAAGCACCATCCAGAGAAGCACAGAAACGGGCATGGCAGCCGAGATGAGGAAGATGGTGAGACAGCCAAGTCGAGAGTCTACTGATGGCAGCATCAACAGCTACAGCTCCGAGGGAAAGTAAGTGACGCCGGCTCAACTGCATGGCTTTGGAACCATGGACATATAGGCATATGGAAAATAACACAGTCATCAAGGGGTGCTGTGAATGTTTTCATTTCACTAGCTGGTCAGTCATTTATTTTAAAATGTCTGACCTCTTACACACACACAGACATGTCTCTGCACCGACCTAGTCCTTCAGAACCTTCAAAGGAATGGTGCCATGTTGGGTTAATATAAACTGATTTCTATCATTCAGGAAAGTTCAGAATAGTCCACTCATGGATGTTTATTGTAGAAATGTCATCTTCAATGGATTCTTATGGGAAACTCATTGGCCCGGTTACCAAAATCTGAACTGAAATTTAGAAGTGAGGAACAGACTGGCAGCTGTCAGAGAGGAGGCGGGTTGTGGAGCTGGATGAAAATTCTAAAGGAATTAAAACAAAAACTCATAGACACAGACAACGGTATGGTGATTATCGGAGGGAAAGTGGAATGGAGGGAGAGGTAGAAGAGGATACAATTGGTGATGGAGGGAGACCTGGAGTAGTGAGCACATAGTACAGTGTACAGATTATGTATTGTGTAACTCTACACCTGAAACCTGTATATTTTATTAACCAGTATCACCCCAATAAAATCAATAAAAAAGAAAAGTCAGGAAAAGAAAAAGTAACTGAGGGACTAATTTTTATATTCTTATATTTCTCCAAACTATTTAGGGTTCTAAGTTGTAAGTTAAAAACTCTCATAACAGCAACTTATATTTTCATGTTTTTAAAACATCACTAACTCATTTTTCCCTTAAGATAAAAGCCCAGGATTTATCTTCCTTGTTATTTTTTTACTAAAGAGTTTTAGTTAATTCCAAAATTAATTAATTTTGAAAAAATATAATTAGAATTTATTTATTTATTTATTTGTTTGTTTGTTTTGCTTACCTAATTTATTTTTTACTATTTAATTTTCCTATGCTTGAGAATTTTTCTGATAAAACTGAATTTTTACTGAGGTGACAGGTCTTACAAATTAGTAATTATTATTCTTCAGTGAGTTACTTGGGGATTAACCATGTAAACATTTCTACAGTTATTCATTTATTACCATTTAAATAATTCATTTACCAATCCTAATATTAATATTTTATTGTATCTTACTGGAATTTTTCTATTTTGTTCAGAAAATAATATAAAAGTATGCCAATATTTGCTATATTCCTTCCCATTCCTAAAACTTACAAGTTTATTTATTTGATCAAATTATTGGGATGCAAGAAATCAGCAAGATATAGCTAAGACCAAAAAATCAGCAGGAGTGAAATTTATGGAGATAAACTTGCTGACAAAACACCAATATGTGATGAAGTGCTATAAAGCAATATCCAAATGCAAGACTAGATACATTATTTTTATATAAAAATTAACAGATCAAATAATATTTATGTCCATCATAGATAAGCCCCTTAGACTCTCAAAAATTTATTTTCATAGTCTCTGGATGGGTGATAATATGTACCCTTGTAATTCCCTTCGTTGTGAAGAAATAGTATCTGTGGAAGCACATTGGAAGTAATACATCCCTATGGACATCTGTTTATTTTAAAAATGCTTATTGCAGTCCAGCCACCTAACAAGCCTGGTTCTTGTTACCCAGGATACATCAATAAACACAAAGAGCATAATCACTGCTCTGCTGGAGCTCACAACCCAGGAAAGTCAGGCAGCCTTGTAGTAAGAAACAGATATATCTTAATCAATCTATTGCCATTTGAACTAAATAAAAACCTCAGATAATATAGAATTGCAATGCACTCAAAATGAATAAATTGAACATTTTTATTTGTAAATAAGAATGTGTATATTATGCTATAATATTTATTTAAGAAACCATTAGGTATTTTTTTAAGTTTAACATTAATGTTACACAATGTTTATGAGCAATTATTTATGTAAAGTTCATGATATAAAAATGTGCATCTTATATTTTATGTCAGTGATATACTAGTATTTAGGTAGGGAATTTTATTTGTGTCCAGAAAAATGTAATATATTAAAAACTATAACAGAGCTCCCTTGACTACCACATCTGCTCTTAATTTGAGAGTTTAGATCTTTTCTCAAGCAGTGATGACTCTCACTCATATGCTTGCTTGGTGCAGAGGCAGTGCAATCAATAAGTAAGCCTATTGTCTAAGCAGTGTTTATGATTTATGATCAGAATTAGTAGTATAATGGAAAATATGAAAAGAATTATAGGAGAGCTAATGTTTTGATTTTTGTACTTTTGCTAATAGCTTAATATTTCCTGGAGTGAGACTAGGAGCGGACAGTCAATTTAGTGATTTTCTCGATGGGCTGGGACCAGCCCAGCTTGTTGGCCGCCAAACCCTCGCCACCCCTGCAATGGGTAAGAATAAATTAACTTTTCTATAGAAAAAGTGATATTTCATGGTTGACAAGGTCATTTAAAGTAGCATAATTGTAATGCAAGTGAAAAGTGACATTTCAGCTAGGGTGTTGCTGGTTTCAAATGACTATTCTAATTTCTAATGCATTTTTCTAACTGGAGATATTATACAAAATGAATAAAGATAATCCTACATCTTTGAATTATCAGAAAACCCCTGTCAAAATAGAGAGTCTACAGTAGATCCAAATGTAGGATAAAGGGTAACATTTCACAGCATGGGGAAAAAATGATGGATTATTCAGTAAAGAATGTTAGCATAAAAGTTTCATTATGTAAAAATAAATTGCCTTTCTACTTCAAAACTTAGGAAAAAAAAGTAATATTTTAGACTCAAATGTAAAAGAAAGACAAGGAGTGGAAAAAGATACTTAGAAAACTAATGTCATGTTTCTAAAATCTTTGTGTGGAAATAATGTCCAAAGGATCAAATCAAAGCCAGATAAATTGAAAATGTCTACTAGCTAATACACCCTAAATGAAGTTGAAAGAAAGATAATGAATGGAGAAAATTATATGTAGCATGTGTCATAGCTATTCCCTGAAGAACTTGAGATTCCAGCTTGAAAGGACTCATTTAGCACTCAACAAACTGCTTGAAAATAGGTCGATGCAGAGGCACATCATCATAGAATTTCACAACACCAGAAATTAACAGAAAATCCTCCAGTAGAAAATCTTCCAAAGAGGATAATTCTATGTAAAACTATCAAAATCAGATTTTCATTGGACTCTTTAACAATAACACTGGGAGCTAGAAGTCTACTGAGCATTATCTTCAAAATTCTGAGTAGCAATTGATTTCCGGCATAGAGTACTATAGCCGGCCAAGTTTTCTAGTAAGTTTAAGGCTAAATAAAAACTCAGGACAGCCAAAACCAGTTTGGCTCAGTGGATAGAGCATCGGCTTGGGGACTGAAAGGTCCTGGGTTCGATTCTGGTCAAGGGCATGTACCTTGGTTGCGGGTACATCTCCGGTAGGGGGTGTGCAGGAGGCAGCTGATCGATGATTCTCTCTCATCGATGTTTCTAACTCTCTCTCTTCCTCTCTGTATAAAATCAATAAAAAAAAATTTTTTTTTTAAAAATCAGGATAATAAAAGTCTCCAAATATTTTTCTCATACCCAAAATTTCACAGAGAACTATTGGAGGATATACTTCCATGAAATGAATGAAGTGAATTTTAATAATTGTGAACTAAAATGAGAAGATGAGATCCAGTAAAAAAATGTTCAACACAGAAATGGTTGGTAGTGAAGGAAAACCTAAAAATAACAGCTGTAGTAAGCTTCAAAGCAATTTGTTCAAATTGTATCATGTCAGACTTCATAAGATTAAAATCTATAAAATTCCTAATGTATTTGATTTTAAGGAAGAGGTAAACAACCCAGGAGAGTGTGTGGGGTTGAATAGTGATATGTACATAAAAATGTAAGCAAATGCTTTCTAAAAAAGATACTTATTAAGTGAAGGGAAGGGGAAGAGCTGTCCAAGAAATGAGAAGTAATAATCATAGTATTCCAGTTCACTCAGCTATAAACAATGTTACATAATCATAATAATATAAATATTAATACTGGAAACTGTGATGACCAAATGTATCTAGTATGTGGTGGGGATGAAAAAGAAGTGAGAGAGATTGAAATTAGAAGTCAATAATAATATCTAAAATTGAAAAACTAGCATGATATCTTATAAGTATAATATTTAAAGATATGGAGGCAAATGCCAAAAAAAATGAAAAATAGACCAGATAAAAATATTGAAACTTATGAAAGCACTGACCTTTGGAAGGCACGAAGTTGACAGAGATAATGGGAATCTTTTATGCTAATAAAATTTGTCTTATACCCAGCCAGTAAGGCTAAGTGATTGAGTGTGGATATGTGATTTGATTCCCAGTCAGGGTACATGTGGGCCCAACCCCCAGTGTGGGGTGTGCAGGAGAGGAGGCAGCTGATCAATGATTCTCTCTCATCATTGATTTCTCTCTCTCTCTCTCTCTCTCTCTCTCTCTCTCTCTCTCTCTCTCTCTCTCTCTCTCTCATAAAAATATGTTTTTAACAAAACAAAACAGAAGTCTTATAGAACATTTTGACTCATTAAACTATGTCTATATGTGGTTAAAACCAAACCAGAAAAGACCAGATGACCTCTAAGAGCTGAGATCTAAAGCAGAGTGACAAAACTAATGAACAACTGACTTGGCAACTTGAACTCACAACTGAAAAATGGAGATGACTCAGCTAACTAAAAATAACTTCAAAATAATTACGTTTAACATTTTCAGAGATAAAGTATTATCTCCATCATAAAAAAAGGAGAAATATCTTATTAAAAATGGGTAAAGCATATGACAAGCAAGACATAAAAGAAGGAATAAAAGTTTAAATTACTTAGAAATATGTTCAGCCTTACTAATAATCAAGAAAATGCAAATTACTAATTTTTAACCATCAGGTTAGCAAAAGTTAGGCATATTGTTAATACCACTATTAGTGGGGTATAAAACTTCTGTTGATAGTGAAAACTGGCACAGCCTTTCTGACTAATATTTGGCAATATGCATGGAATTTTGAATGCCTGTTCAATTAGACCCAATAATTTAAAATCTGAGAATTTGTGATCAAGGAATATTGACAACATATGCAAAAATTCTTTTTAAAGCTTTTAGTTATAATGGCAACAATATAGATAGCCTATATTTGGTTAAATCATTAATGTCATGCCTATTTAGTGGCCCATGTGGTCAATAAACTGAGAATGTATGTTCATAATAGCTAGATAGGTAAGTTAGATAGGTAAGTTAGAAGGAAGGAGGGGAGGGTGGGAGGAAAAGAGGAAAATACTTATGAGATTGCTAGGATGTTCAGCAAAACAATAATGATGATTTCTGTAAATGGAAATATAAATAGATTATGCTTTTTATTAAGAAGTATTATATACTAAATGACATAAAGGATAAGAAATCTTATTAGAGTACAAGAATCACTTAAATACCTCCGTATTACTGTTGTTAAGCAATTTATAACTTAATCCGGGACTCTCTTAAATGGATTAGTATCAGAAAAATTAAGAGAAATATTTGAAACCTGACTTGGAAGTAGGGAGAGAAGGGCAGGGTTGGGGGGTTCTAAATCTTTGTTTTTATCAAGATCATAAAAGCCCTAATTTGGAGCCCGTTATGAGCCTCTATTGTTTTTAATTGACCATATCTTCCAAGAAGCTGACACATTTTGCTTCCCTTCCACTTGCAGGCGATATACAAATTGGAATGGAGGATAAAAAGGGCCAATTAGAAGTTGAAGTGATTAGAGCACGAAGCCTCACACAAAAACCTGGCTCCAAATCTACACCTGGTAAGGGAAGCCGTTTGGACCAAAAAATCTCACCCACGTGGGCAAAAAACTCAAACACCTGCTGCATTGAAGTTTTATATGCTCCGTTTTTTATCCTCTGATAGATTAAAAAGGCAGCTTTCTGTGTTCTCTAAGACTATAAAAATGAATCTTTGCACAATCATTCTGTCAGAAAGTATTAGGGGTAATATTGTCATATTAGAAAAAGTTCAGTTATGATTGTTTCTTAGCTTATGTCAATTAATTTTTTGGTACATTTACAAATGAAAAAGGAAAAAGTTTTGTTGTAATACAAGGAAACAATGAGTGTTAAGAAATAAACCTGAATTATAATACCGCATGTACCCCAAGAAAGTCAAAGTCTTAAGGTAACCTGCATACATTTATTTGAAATTATGAAAATGGCTGCAGTGATAACATAGGGGAGTGAAGGAGTAGAATTTCTGAAGCACTTTAAATTGTAAAAGATTTAAATAGTCAATGGAAAACTTTCCATAAGCATCTCTAAATCTCTAGTAAGGCATTCTCTAATATAATCCACTTAACTTAAAGGATTAACATGCATTAATATTACCTTTGTTTAGCTCCATATGTCAAGGTGTATCTTTTGGAAAACGGGGCCTGTATAGCCAAGAAGAAGACAAGAATTGCACGGAAAACCCTTGATCCTTTGTATCAGCAGTCCCTGCTGTTTGATGAAAGTCCGCAGGGTAAAGTTCTTCAGGTGAGTAATAGCTCATGTGACTTTTTTTACATTGAAAATCCACATTATCCATGTAGACACCCAAGAGGTGATCAAATAGGAAGAGACTTGAGTTCAGTTGGGAGAAATGTGAAATAACGTTCTCCAGTAGAAAAAAAAATGGCAAGTTGCTGTTTACTGTGAAAATAATGTATAGTATTAAACTATATATGGGTTTGATGGAATTTAATAAAATAAATGTTCTCCTTTTTTCTCTGTCTTCTTTTCTTCCTTCTCTCTATCCTGTCTTTTACTTTTGCCTTATTTGTCACCCTTTACCCCATCTTGATAGCTAGATGTAGATGATGATAGATAGAAAGATATCAAGGCAAATGATGCCAGTAATAGTTTATTGAGCATTATTCTCTACAGACATGAGACACAATGAGGAAGAAAGGAAAACAGAAATGTTCAGGGGCCAGCAAGTATTCAGGACTGACTGAGTGTCAGGTGCATTGCTTATTAGATAGTGGTTACTAAAGAAGGTGTTAAATTTATATGTAAATGAAATTGTATATGTATTTCTTTAACATGGTTTATGTGTATAATACCCCTCCTTGACTAGGAAAATATTACCTGCCTTCCATCGAATCTAGAACATATTGTGAAGTGTCTTTTTGAGCGCCTTCCTTTCAGTATCTTCTTACCTAGTTTTCCTCCGTAGTGTTGGTGATACTCATTTCTCCTCCTTAGCTCACTGGCCTACCTTTATATAATTGTTGCTTTCAACTCTTCTAAGGCACAACTCTAGAGTGGAGTTCAAGTTTATTGCCTTTCTCTGTCTCTGCAGGTGATTGTCTGGGGAGACTATGGAAGAATGGACCATAAATGCTTTATGGGTGTGGCCCAAATCTTATTGGAAGAACTTGATCTGTCCAGTATGGTAATCGGATGGTACAAATTATTCCCACCGTCATCGTTGGTGGATCCCACACTCACTCCCCTAACCCGCCGGGCTTCCCAATCATCTCTGGAAAGTTCAACTGGGCCTCCCTGCATTCGATCGTAGTGAACTCATACTAGAGTCATTCCAATAAAGCTCTATCTTTCAGGATAATAATCGGAACCAGATATTTCATGAGCAAAAGCATTGTTGGAGACAGACAATCAGCTTGTGCTTTGCCTGTAGTAATTTTCAATAATGTGTCCCAACTGTTGTTTCAAATCTGGCTTCATATGACAGAACAAGGCAGTGTATCAGATTACAGTAAGAACCAACAAGCTAGTGAGAACCACTGATGCTTCTAATAGAAAAAGAAGAAACCACGTTTACACACACACACACACACGCAAGCACGCACGCACCTCAAATTGAACAAACTGGAAACTCTCACTCTGTGATAAATAGTATTTCACACGTTTTCACACAGACCAGGAGCAGTGTTATTTCCCTGATGTTCGACGAGTTTGTTTTTTTGTGTTTTGTTTCTGTGTGTGATTTGTTGCTTTTGGGTTTGTTTTGTTTCGTTTTTCACTGAGTTTGTTATTTACACTAGTTTTCGGCTGCGTCAGGACAGGCCTCGTGATGCTTACAGAGACCCTTCCTTTCTTTTTCCAAACTCGCCACAAAAAGGGCTGAAGCAGCCTCTGCAGCATCTCCCCTACATGCTCAGCAGCTGGACAAGGCAAGGCCCCTGAAGGGCTCCACTGGTTTTCATGCGATAATTTTCCAGTCTGATGTGTGGAAACCCAGAAATCTTCCAAAAAACAGTCCCTGAATTACCGTGTTTAATGGAGAAGCACATCTGTTTGAGTTCTAAAAATTTACTTTCTTTTCCATTGTCCTGCATGGAAGACTTTTAAAGAAGTCAATCTGCAACTAGTGCTGGGAACTAAAATTAACTGCATAATCGTACCTTGGAAACTCTCCTTGTCATGCCTTCTTCTTCCTGATACTAAAAAGAAAAAGTATATACTCATGTGTATAGACTACACTTTTGACTTCCCCAAATGGTATTAAAACGGACTTGGGCCCAAGGCACTTGGAGCCCAAGGCCACGCCCGGGCTCCTTGGCTGTGCCTCAGTGCAGACACACTAGTCCACCCAGAAAGAGCATAGTGTGAGCTGTTCAGTATGTCACTGGAAATTCCAGTTGAACTATTCTCACTAAACTAATGTTTTTATCAAATTTTAGTTTACCTTTCTTTGAAATCGATGCAAGCACAAAGCTCTTTTTTTTTTTTTAATGCAAAGTATATTACTTTTTGGGGGGGGAGGGGAGAGATGAAACAAAGTCAAATTTCAATGTGCATTTTCTTCATCCGAGTTTTTCTTGGCCTTGACTTTCCCTTGTGGCATTCTGTGTGTGTGTTCCATCCTGCAGACGCTGCAGGTGCATTGACATGTTCTTCTCATTTTACGAGTCATTCAGTTTTTGTGACTACACAGATAGAGCAGCATGACTTGGAACTGTTCAACGCTGCATGCACATTTTGTAAAAAAAAAAAATTTTAAATAAAATAAATAAAAAATGAAAAAGAAAAGAAACAAAAGGTTATTTAATAATGTATGTTAGTTCCACATAGGCCCGCTTGTATGTTGCATGTACTTGTACAGTTTGCTCGTTAATTACTATATTGAAATAACCAAGAAATCTAAGCCATCCATTTTTGTTATAGACATTTTGCAGGTTTCTGTCAGACTCGATCTGGAGCCTGGGGTGAAATGTCTATAGATGGACTTTATTTTTTACCCTCTGGAAAACGTGATGTAGTATGGACCAAATTCCTTCTAATAAATATTTTGGTGTAGATTCTTACTGTGGGGCTGTAACACATGTAGACACTGTGTACACACTAGGTTTTAATCCATAGACATACTGCCTGCACCAAGTGAATTCTTTATCATTATTTACACATGCCAGAATTATCTGCCCATCATTCCACAGGGCACAGACTGACCACTAATCACCATGCTGAGCAGGAAGAACTGAAGCATTGGTGCACTTCTACTAGATTCTGTTCTGTCTTAGTGGCCAACAATCAACTAATTGGGTAGTATCTTTCTATTTTGACCACTTGTCTTAACACACTCCCCTGTGCTTTTAAATGAACTTCCAACTCATGTATGTAAACATGTTTAATAAAATTTACTTTTCATGTCAGTCGGTAGCTATCTGTGTTCTATGTTTTGCCCAGATATCCACTGTGGGTTCTATGGTGCAAAATGGGAGCCAGATCATGGGAAGGGGAGGTTGGGATTTGTTGTCTGCTGCGGGCATTTGACTTGACTTGTCACTGCACTATCTATGTCTTAATCTATGGCCCAAAGGGTACTTTGCATCACGTACAAGTTTTCACTTTGTCAGCCTGTCTAAGTGAGCACATGACTATACTTCTGAAAAGTGGCATTATTAAAAAAACAATAAATCTCATGAGAATAAAACAGAAGGTTGTTTTTCTGCTGCTGTTTGAGTGTGCTAATAAGAGACAACTTTGTTGTCCAACTGACAAATCATCTCACAAATGCGACATATCAAAATGTCAATTCCCGCGTCTCTCGTCAAAGCATCTGGGTCCCCTGTCCGTCTTTCTCTTCCAAACCCCTAATGGATCTGTAAAGTGTAGGCTGGCTTAACCAACCAAGAAATATATTAAATCATCTTCAATAGAACCTTAGGAGATATATTTTCCCATATAGTAGAGTCTCTAAAAGTGACATCATAAATGAGAAATGATTAGCTTTCTTAACTTAATTTCAGGATATTTTTCTTCTGCAATAGTGTGTTCACAGATTTCACAATCAGCATTTTCACACGAAGCACTGATCCCCTGTTGTTTGGTAGTAAAATAACTGTTGAGATCTACTTTTCGCCTTTTAAGAGCCCTTACATTTTTATAGACCACATCGGCCTTATCTTTGTAAAGCAAAATAAACATAGCTGGCTCAGAATCAAATCTGAGACAATAAAGCAATTTGAAACATGTCACTACATCAGTTATTTCATGTTTTTTAAACAAGTTAACTGAATTTTACCCCATTGAGCCAATCAGTTGTTTGGTCTACAGGACATGAAATTATCAGGCTGGGTCAACAGGAGACTAAAACAAGGGATGGATTCCATTGACAGCCACCTGTCAGAGGGAAGCTGTTTAGTGCACACGCAGTGGGAGAGCACATAAGGGGGGGAGGGGAGGGGGAGGGAAAGTCCGCCTTTAAAATAGGCAACTGAATGTGGCTCCTGTTTTCTAGGCAGAAAAGCAGAAGTCTCCCTTCAAGTCAGACACACCTGCACAGCATTCTGAGTTCTGGGCCTGCGATGATGAGAAATAACTGGAGGAGAAGCAGTTTTGCTAAGTCTTCCTGGTATCTTGCTGAACCTGACCACCTACTTTCTGGAAATCCCAGCCTGAGATATATTATCTGATTTTACTTAACTAACAGCATTAAGGGCTTGGTTGGATACTAGATATTAAGCACTTGGGATATAAAAATGAAAAGAGAAAAACAAACAAACAAACAAAAAAAACCTTAGCCTGTCTTAAAGGAGCACTCTTTTAAGAGAGATCATTGCATTTTTAAAAATGCAATTACATACATTTTATTAGTGTACAAAAGGCTACAGGATTGTGTTTAATTCTCATAATAGCCCTATGCATTAAGTACTCTTATGACCCCTATTTCTCATAAAGGATCTATCTGCAGCTTGGAGAGCTAAGCAAGAGGCCAAAGGTCACAGTGCAGTTGGGGATGGAGCTGGGATTTGAACTGAGGTCTGGAGGACCCTGAGCCTATCCCACAAACACTCTGCATCTTCCAGTAAGTGCTGACAGATGACCTAGATCTTCAAGAACAGAGAGTCCACCAGATTAGAAAGCCCTCTAATCCAGCCATCCTCCTCCTGAAGCAGGCCTTGGCCTGAATGGTTTCTCAAATACCTGTGCTATTATGGGGGGAGGTGCCGGAATAGGGATACGAGGCAGGTGAACTCCTTTCCATCCACTAAAATGTCTCAGGTTGTTCTCCACTGACTCTCTGTGTGTCCTCCTCTGCTGCAGTCACTTTTGGCACCATTCAACCTCTTGAGTACATCCTATGCAGGTTTGAGGAAGAGTGTGAATAAAAGACACAGAACAAAGTGATCTTTAGCCACGCCCAGACTTAACCTTTGGTTCCCAGGAAAAATGATCATCTGAGTACCCATACCCTACTTCTTGCCCCCGGTCCCAGTTCAATAGCGCTCCTCAGTTCTGCATCAGTCACAAAAGAATTGCATCTTGGAATTGAACTGATATGCCTTGACTCTCAGCCCCATAGAGTTTCTCAGCTTTCCCAGAGTCAGTGCATACACCTCTCAGGTGTCTGCTTCCAAAAGAGATTTCATTGCCTTACCCCTCCTTGCAAACTTGTCACAATTCTACTTGGCTCGCTTTGGTTATGTACCACTGGGGTTTGTCCCAGCCCTCCAGTGGGATCTGGCCAATGTGTGTGCGTGAATGACAGTTGCTCTACCACAGTTACGTTATAAAGGACCTACATCTAAGAAAAAAGGAGGCACTGTGTAAATATAAATATAAATATAAATATAAATATAAATATACCAAAACTAAACAGCACTTACATTAGTCATATATTTTTGTCAGATATTTTCCAATATATCACTCAGCATCTTTCTTTTTTCAAATAAATGTACATGATGCCTTTGTGTGCTCAACAATTGATCACTTAGCGCCTGAAAAGTTTTTGTTATATTTTATAGACTTGAACCTTCTTCCACCACTGGGTTCTTAGGCTTTTATCCACTTTAGACCCTTATGGTGCCTGGTAAAGCCTTTAGGCTCCTTCTCAGAATAATATTAAACTCATTTAAAAAGTATATAGGGTTGGAAAAAACAACTATATGAGAAACATTTTTAAAAATTTGTGATGGATTAATACATATATATATGACTTCTTTACTGTAGGACTAAATAAAACAGTGAAAGACCCAATAACTACTGTATTTTTGAAGTAGTGATGAGCAAAAATAATATTCAAGTTATCTGCATCAACTCTAATGTGTTAGAAAA